TCATTAATGTTGGCCAAAATAAAGCAAATGATGAAAATGTGATAAAGGAATGGAGGACCCAGTGCACTATGTAAAGCTATCAACTCTTCAGATAACCACTATACTGCACGTACATTCTTTTGAAGTATTCAGTCCATAGGCAAGGAAACATCCATACTTTATACCAATCCCTAAATAAATTTGGCGCATTACATGCAGATAAATCCACAAAAGTTATTAACCAACTTACATCTCTCTGGCTTAGCCATCCACCTATTTCCTTCAGCTGAATCAATAGTCCCCAGTCAGTGGTTCTCAACCAGTAGTCCACGGTACTCTGGGAGAGCCTCAATGTCATCACAAGGGATCCCCAAAGGCTTGAAGAAATGTTATGATTTAAGTCTTGAGTTAAGTCTTGGGGATTCGTGGCCATGGTCCGTGGCCACCAAAGGTATTTAAAGGGGGTCCATGGTGAAGAAAAGCTTGAGAACCACTGGTTCCAGTGAAGAAAAAAATGTAATGTTTATTTGCCTGGAATTAATTCTTCCTCACCATGGGCAGCCAGACAAATTGTTTAAGGGGGACCTGTAGTGTATTCTGATCTACCCACCACAGTATAATCATTTGCATTTCATTTAATCTCTGATTTTTCGCAGGAGGTTGAGTAGGTTAAGAGATATTTTTCTCCCATTTTAGCACAGAGAGAGTGCACATGATCATGCCAAGGATGCCCCTGGAGGCACTGTTGTAGGAGAGCACAGATTTCAACCTATCCAAGGGTTATTTGCACGTCCACATTTTAGGCACATAAGCAAGGTGATCACGAGAGGAATGTTGTGTAAAGGACCACAGAGTAAGTGTGGAACCAAAGAAGCAGTTCAACCATGAACAGTGCAACTCCTGCACAAATCTCTTTGGAACTCAGTCCCTTTGAGTTTAGTAGGGCTTTCTCCCAGGTAAGCAAGCATAGAATTGTAACCCGAGTAATGCAGACATGGTGGAGAAATGGCAAGATGTCCAAGGAAGGTGGAACACAGCACCCTACTGAGTGGTACAACTGCCCTGAATGTGGATGTGGATAACCACTCATTGGGTATCTTTTTCTTTTCAATCCTCAGGAAGAGGCAGCCAGAATTCTCGCCCACCAGCCAGTGTCCGTCGGCACATGTGCAGCTTTGAAAAACCCCAAACTGCAGTGAATGTGTAAGAAAAGCTGCATGACAAACAGTGGTGTATCTTTTTTTTTTAACCCATTGCTTTCTCTTTCTCATGACTTTCTCATTTCTAATAATGGTGCATGCCATTAATGATAGAAAAGTCGTGTATGTGTCCCATTTTTCACACTGCCTTGACCTGCTTGTCCATATATTCTTTCAAGGACACTGTCAAATAATTTTTGGAGGATCTTTTTTCTGTTTTTCATGGTTGTCACTTCAACATCTTCTGGCTGAATTGCAAAAGGAAAAAAAATAGTTTACCTGTTCATTTTATCTTTCCCCTAATTTACCCCACAATTTTTCTTGTTCATGGTTTTGCATGGAGCTGAACTGGTCTTCTTTCAATGACAGCTGTCCATTTTCTCTAGCAGCTTCAGCTGCATCCTGGCTGTGTCTAGTTCTTCCTGCCTACTGAGGGCTTCAGAAATACTCAGTCATAGACCAAATACAAAAAATACTCACTGATGAACATGACTTCATGTAGTTGGCCGTACTGGAATTTTGGAAGACAAAAAATAATTGAATCAATGGGACAATAGTAATAATTACTTATTATATAGTTCTTCTTTCCTATCACATCTAAAGTTTTGCAACTAAGGAATTTTTTAAAGTCACAGATTAGAGCTGGATTAAAATTGTTTATTAAGTAGAACAACGATATAGCAAGAAAAACTACCATTTTTAAAAAACAGTTGCATGGGGGAGCCCACATAGATTACGCAGTAAATTTCAAATCATGTTAATGGAATTGAATCTGCTTTCACTAGATTGTTGGAAAGACAAAGGGGAGAAAGAGCAATAAATTAAACACAGAGAAGAAAGTAAGGCGGGATAACAGAGGGAAAAAATGCTGCTGAAAAAATAAGGTTATTATAGGCAAACCATCCAATATAAGGAACATCAGTGGAAATTTTAAAAACAATTATCAACCATTCTCAGTATTAAATGACATAATGTATCCATTTTATTGGATTCTACTTTGTATGTCAGATGACAATGGAAATTATATGACACACAAAACTGAATCTGATGAAATAGGTATATTATTAGTCATCAGCATTGTGGACAAGATTGAAGTCCTCACTGAAACTTTTGTTGGGATATAATACTCATGAAAAAAAAAAACTTCAGGAACTGGAGTTCCTGTCAACATTGATTTAAAATAAAATTCGGAAGATGCTGCCAAGAGGGAAAAAAATTCAGAAATGGAGTAATATAAGTATGTAATTCCAAAAATTCTTGCCTGGGAGTCAGCCCCACTGACCTGAAAGGAACGTGTGTGTGTGTGTGTGTGTGTGTGTGTGTGTGTGTGTGTGTACACGCATATGTATGTATGTCTGTGGGTGTATACCAACATATATAAGTTACGTTTTAAACGTGTTGTTTTTATATGCATTAATCAGTATTACTGTTCAACATATTCTGTATTGCATTGTGTTTTATATTCTATTCTATACCTATATAAAAGTATAAAATCCATTCCCATGGATCTTACAGAGCATCTTTGGCCTGTTTTCTGAACATTAAATACATTGTTTGAACTAAGTCCTTGCCGATCTAAATTTGGAGCTTGGTTCACTTTCTCCTACAGAAAAAAAATCCAATAACGCTAATATATAAATCCTGTACATGAAGCTTTCCACCAAGCTTTCCCAACTAAATAACCCAGTGACACCCATTTAAAAGACTTCAGCCTTATACATGAAAGCCGCTAGAGTCAAATTTCCATCTAAAATGCATTCTGTGCCTTGATTTATTCCTAACTGAGCATGTCTACATAGACCTTCATTTGAGAAATAACTCAGCTTCAATACATAGAACTACAGCACTGGATAAAATATAAATTTATCTAGTCAGCATTTACATTGCCAAACAGTATGTCCATCAGCAATAGAGAAATGTACTGAAACTATAGTGCATTGCAAAGCAAGTGATTTGCATCAGAAGGTACTAAATAGATACATCCACATAAATCTAATTTATAGAGCATAGGATTATTGCAGTATCTACTCTGAGCATCACAGAGCCTGCAGCAGAATGTTTCTACTCTCCATGTGCTATAAATATAAAATAGCTTTAAAGGGCAGGTATTTCTGGTGATTTTTTTCTATATCACATGGAAGTAAAATATACTGCTCAAAAAAATAAAGGGAACACAAGCAGAAGACATCCGAGATCTGAATGAATGAAATAGCCTTATTAAATACTTTGTTCTTTACATACAGTAGTTTATACACTGCTCAAACAACTAAAGGGAACACAAAACTACTGTACATAACGAACAAAGTATTTAATAAGGCTATTTCATTCATTCAGATCTCAGACGTCTTCTGCTTGTGTTCCCTTTATTTTTTTGAGCAGTGTATTTTATTCTGAAAAATGGACTGAAATGTGAACTTTCAGTCCATTGTTCAGAATAAAATATTTTACTTCCATGTGATATAGAAAAAAATCACCAGAAATACCTGCCCTTTAAAGCTATTTTACATAACTGTTTTGTAATCCCACACTCCCACAATGTCTAACAACAACATGCCTACAAAAAAAATTCCACTAACCATCTAAAACTGTTGTAATTAATACTGTTGGTAAGCCTGATTGTTCTCAGAGTAACAATCTTGTTTAAAGTATTGTGTTCCTACACTGTTGCTTTGGTTCTTACTCACTACAATACTTTCTTGGTGCTTCCATATCATGAACGTAACCTCTTTGTAAATAGTGGGGTTTTCCTGGAGCAAAGAGACAGACAGTCATTGCTTTTGATGTCTTTTCCCCAAGTATTTAAGGTCATTTATACTTACTAAATGTATAACAGACTTACAGGTATTAGTTATGTCTGCATTTGTGTTTTAAAATATTTGTTGTCATAGAGGTTGTGAGACTGATTTTTCACAGTATGTACACAAGTAAAACTGTAGATGTATGGGCCATGAGAAAGTTAATCCTCAAACCTCCATGACTCTAATGGAGAAAATTCAACAGATGAACGAGAATATTTCTGACTGCAATTCTGCTCATCCACAAATTGGAGCTAGAACGTTTTGTACTGCTGTTTTTACCAGACCAGACAAATTTTTTATGTGTTGTGGAAATTGTTGCATGTGAAATGCAAATCAAATGTTACCAACTAAAGATTATATAGTATAAAGTTGAGTGCTTTTTAAAGATTGAAGTTGAGTTTCTGCATCATTTTTGGAAACTATGTCTTATGTGCATGCACTTATTTTACGCTTGTTCAGAGTCATAGGCTGAAAACAGAGCAGGAGATGGGCGTATCCATTTCCCATTCACCCTCCCTTCTCCTCCTTAAATGTAGAGGCTTCTTACTTTTTGAAAAAAAGCTGCTGTTTATAATGAATAATAACAACATTTTACCCCATTCACCCTAACAACATTTAATAAAGAAACAATATGCTTGTTACAGTCATTGCTGTTGATGTTTCTCTGCATCTCCTCCCAGGAAGTATATAAACCGGGGACAAAGAGTCTTGGAATCGGTTCATTTGCTATTCCTTACCAACATTACAGGGGGAGGAAATGAAGATCCATTACTTTCTGTGTCTGGTGGCAGCCATGCATATTCTGCAACATGTTGCTCTGTCCCCAGCATCTGAAACTAACGGAATAATTTGCTTTCATTTACAGACTTCTAGATTTAATAACAATTGCTGTTTCCCACTGTAGTTGCTTCTTGGAGGAACTAAGACTGCAAAACACACAGGGATTTTCTAGGATGAATGTGTTGTTGGTTTCCTGTGTCTGCCTATGGAAATGTAAATAAACACATCTTTATTTTATTTCCAGTTCTAATGGCAAGTCTGTGTCATGGTCTGAACCAGGTGGAAGAGAAATTCCCAAGGGACAACATATGTGGCACAGGCTCTCAGTGCATGTGAAGAATAAGGAGCTAGGATGCAATCAGACAGCAGTGATCAAGCCCCTAACTAAAAGTTATCCAGGTCCAAGCAAGAGCCTCACTTTTTCGGACATCAGCAGTAAGACTTTGTACAATGTTGTGGAGGAGGAAGCAAGCGAATCAGTGCACTTCAGCCAAATGAATAGTCCTTCCATGGTTGTACACAGAAGAGTGATGGTGATGCCTCCACTGCAGGCAGCAGCAGAGGACATACAGAGTCCCAAAGTCTTACCACCCCCACCCCCACCTCCACCACCACGATCCATTATGGAGCAGCTGCAGGGTGTGGTCAACAAATTTTCCACGGGCATTCCTGATTTCAATGCTGTAATGCCCGTGTCTGGTGCAGGAAACGGACTGAGGCCCATCTATCATCCTCCAGCAATGCAGCCACAGATATTGCCACTACAAATGGGCACTTTCAGTAAAGAGCCAGTTTCACTCCCATCTGAAGAAGAAGAGGAGGAGGAAGAAGAAGAAGAAGAGGAAGAGGAAGAAGAAGAAAATGAAAAGTTTAAGCTTATCCAAGATTATGTGTATGAGAGGCCAGGAAATTTAGAGGAGGAGGAGGAGGAAGAAGAGGAGCAGGCCACCAGCAAACTGACTCTAGAAGATTCACCAGCACTGACACCTCCATCTCCTTTTCGAGATTCAGTGGCTTCAGGCAGCTCTGTGCCCAGTTCTCCTGTGTCCGAATCAGTGCTTTGCATACCTCCCAATGCAACTTACACCGCCGTTGTTTTGAGGGATTACAAGCAAAGCTCATCCACTTTGTAGAACAGAAGCTGCTCTGGTGAAAGCAAATAGATCATGTCTTCTCTCTGAGCTTTAATTGGACAGGGAGAAATAGCACAAGCCCCCTGGGGCAAGTGAAGGCCAATGAGCATGGTGTAAAAGGTGGGGCAAAAATTTGTATCCTGCACTAAATCCATTAGAGAGCTCCAGTTCTTTACTTGTTATGTGTGTGGTTTTGTTTTGTTTTTTTTTAAAGGAAATTATTGTGTTCAAGAGTAGTGTATTCTGAGAAGATCATCGGAATTCTGACAAAGCACAAATCCCATGTACAACTTCTATAGCAAAAAGGAAGTGTAACAGTAACACCCAGTGTTCACAAACACACAGTCACATCATATACAGTACTCTCTTGACAACACTTGAATATGACTGCGTGTTAAAAGTTAGAGGAGAACCATGCTGTGTCTCCACAATATGCATCATCATTGAATGCAGCAGACTGTACTGTAATGCAGCGACATTTGCCTGAAAGGAGAAAATATATTTTGCTAAACCATTTTTAAGTGGAAATAGCAAGACATCTCCTGAAATTTATGTTGGGGGAGTCACCTAGCATGTTAGCATATAGCTCATAAAGAACGTTTAGAAAAACTGATTTAGCATTCCCCCCTCCCCTTGTATACTAATTTTTTTAAAAAAAAACCTGGAGTAAAGCATAAGAAAGTCACAGAAAAATTTATTGATACAATCAAGTCCAGAATCCCTGTAGTTTTGAAATCTTTGATTTGCCATTGTGATAGAAGACTGCAAGCCAGGTGACTGTTAACACTACATTCCCTGTAGCAAAACAATAGTTACTGACTCAACTTTAATAATCCAATGAGATTGCCATGTAATTACACTGTTTGTTTGTGTTACTATGGAAACAACTACATATAAAATAATTATATATTTTCAGCAACAATTACTACTTTAAGCAAAAAGTTGTTCTTAATAGCGGTTCATTAGATTCATAGTAGATGCAAGAGAATGAATGTTTCTGTCTTCGTATGTGCGCGCGTGTATGTATTTGTATATATGTAACTGTATACAACATGTGATGTGTAACATCTAATAACTGCCACTGGAGGATTGTCCTAGAAATATATTATGAATATTTTTTATGTTTCAATCATGTTTTATATTGCATTGTTTAAAAATATATTATAAACCTTTGAAGATTTGTATGTCGTGCTGAAACATTTTTAAAGAGCTAAGCTGCCCCTTATAACAGGGTGTTTGATTTTGCTGATATATTTGCCATGTGGAATTATGCTGTTGAAAATAATCAGTGCTCCAATAAGTTGTTATTTCATGTGATTTAAGGAAATGTGATTAATAAAGAATGCATCTCTTTTAGAAATTTTGCACATGGCAGTATTAAACCTTAAACAGAACCTTCAGAAAAATATTTAAATCATGTTTAGCTTCCTTTGGAAAAGTAAAATATATATTTTGCCATGGTAAATACATATATATTTATTTCCTCCTTTAGCAAAACCTATGTACCTGACACCATTCTCCACTGTTAATTTTCTACTCCTGCTCTGTAGATTTCCTCCAGTTTCACGATATTCCCCCACCTTCTCCAGATTTATTTTCTAATAATAATAATCCTTGGATCAGATTTGTGCCCACTCTGTTTTTTTCTTATCTTTTTTCTTATTTTTGTCATCTAAGAAAAGGAGAGTTAAACTAAAATCAGAATCCAGACACAAGGAGAATTTGGAAAACCATGAAGTTGCACCTAGGTGAATCTGAGTAGGACATTTACAAGATAAATGTTTCCTCTTTTCTGTCATATGTCCTTCTAAAAATCATTCTTCTGGACACTGGTTTTGCAATAATCAGACTTGCAAAGTTCTGCTGTTATAGCCGATCTCAATAAAAGTAGTTTTAGCGTTCCTGTAGGATTGATTTTTGATCTGGTCTACCTAGTGCAGGGGTGCCAAACTCAAGGCCCATGGGCCACATCTGGCCCACAGGGTGCTTAGATCTGGTCCATGGGGCCATCCTGGAACCAGCAAAGGACCAGCCCACGGTGCCTCTGCCAGCGAAAACGGAGCTAGGGAGGGCTGTGTGCAGAGGGTGGCAGAGGATGTCCCAGCCGAAAACTGAGCTTGCATGGCCCTCCTGAGCTCCATTTTTGCTGGCAGAGGGTTGCAGGAGGCCATTTTTGCTAGCAGAATGCTCGGACCATCACAGGCGCCTCTGACATGAGTTACATCAAGCTGGCCATGCCCACCCTGGCCACGCCCACCTCAGCCCCCCAAAGTCAAACACAATCCTGATGCAGCCCTCAATGAAATCGAGTTTGACACCCCTGACCTAGTGGGACTGACACCAATCTTGCAAGTCTCAGTCTTATATTTGATCCATTTTTATAGTTCAGTGAATTAGGAAGTATCTGAGTCATTTCCAAATGTTTGCTGGACCTCCATCAAAATAATCTTTTTAGTCTCTACACATATTGTTCTGGTTTGCTCTTTTAGGACTAACTCCATTCCCCTAGTAAAGTATCAGCTGTTCCTCATGCATCTTTCTGAGGCACCCTGAACCTCAGGAGCAATCATTCCTATAATCTAAAGACAGCTATGCACCAATGGCTTTATGCTCCCCACCAAAAAATCTGGAAAATATCTGAGGCAGATATAAAATTGACTCAGAGGTATGCTAGCAAAAACCAAGCTGTATATGTCTCTGAAACATAACTTAACATTTTGAGATATATAGAGCTTCTGTGTTCCTCTGCACCAAAGTTGCACACAAGTTCCTTTTTTTCAGAGAGGGCAAGGGGCTTTTGGAAAAATATATTCCATCAAAAGCAAGTGGGTTTTTTATGTCTGTAATGATTGTGAGAATTTGATTTATTGCCCAACTACTATAGGATACTTTATAGCTTATTCTAAAAACTTGGCTAAAAATACAATGCTTTACATGAAAAACCATAATAATCAAAGCCAGTTTAAAGATAAGGCATTTACCTTATTTGTATTTAAATCACATATCTTAAGTTACACCTCCAATATTCCAGCAATGGTACCATACTTTATGGATAAGAGAAGCAATTTATATAGACTTTTGCCATGCAATTCTATAAAAATAGGTGAATACAGCAAGGTAACTTTGTCCTTATATTAATTAACTTTCACTGAACTAAGTTCATTTTTATTCTGAAATTTAGGAAATGGGCAAGAGCCAAGGTTATGCAAGCAAATATTGTATGCAACAGAATTTTCAATTCTGCCCCTCCTATGGACCCCCATATCTTTCTAAAATCTATCCCATAAGATCTTCAAATCCTCTGAAACACAGTGTGCTAGACCAGGGGTGTCAAACTCATGTCGCCACTTGACGTATCATGACTTTTTCCCCCTTTGCTAAACCGGGTGTGGGTGTGGCCAGCGCGTGATGCATCCGGCCCACAGGCCGCAAGTTTGACACCCCTGTGGTAGACAAAGGGAAGTACAGTGGAAGGCATTAGGCACAGAGGAACATTCCATTAATATTGGCTAGTTTCAGTACCCAATACATACATACATACATACATACATACATACATACATACATACATACATACCCTAGATGTCTCTCAAAAGATTTTTACAATTTTTGAATAGTAGACAGGGAATCATCCGGTACTGCCTAAGAACTAAAATGAACTTGAGAAACAAATATATCTATATCTATATCTGCAGTACAGAGCAGTAGAATATAGTTTTCTTTAGCTAAATTGGTTCTACAATGTTGATCTGAACTGGAACATCATTTGAAAATGGATAATACTGTATTTTTCCCATTTCTAATGTAACAAGGTCAACAAGCACACAAAAAAAATCAGTATGTCATACAACTTCTGTGCTAGTTAGAGATTGCAATTTGTATTCTGTTCTGGTAAATCTATAAGCACTAATTTTACAAAAATAGCTACAAGAAACATTTAATTAATGCTTCAAATATTAGCTTTTAATTTGTAATGCAACTGGGAACTGGATACCTAGCTACTGGATACAGTAACTGTCTCTCTGAAGGGCAAGATCTCACAAAATATGTCATTGCACAAATTTCTGAGATATCTGTAAAAGTTTTCTTTGCTGTCTATTGTATGATTAATTAAAATTATCTTTATAATATTGTCTAATGTATTTTATATTTATTATGATAGAAAATTATTTAACTTCATGAAGTTATCATAATTCAAAATATAATTTGTATATCCCTAAAATACCATTTCAGCGATTTAGTCCCTATTATGTTGACAGACTGATTCAACCATATACTTATATCACTCAATCGTTTTCCAAAAAGTTATCATTTCGTATGCTGATCCAACTTGCTTTTTGCTGTTTATGTCCCATACATACAGCTACTCTTTCAGGATAAAACCTGTGACTGCATATATGGTACTGAACATCTGGATTACAGCAGTGAGATGAGATATAGAAGTGCACACATGCACACATACACAACAGTTATGTTAGCACAATACACATATCAGTGGTTAACTAATTCAACCCAAAGTTCTAGCTTTGCACAATCCTAATGTATTTATATTGGCTGCTATTATTCAACATGCTAACGAATTGTGGCGATTAGTAAATCATCTGTTGTAAGCTTGTGCCTAGCATCTTTATCTCCTACATAACAATTTTTCACAATTACCTCTCTGCAGTTAAATTGCTATGAAGAACAATTTCAGAAGATTACTTAGAAGGCTACTTTACTACAGATGAATATAGTTCTTCCTCTTCTTCAAATCAATAATATGACTTGACTATGCATTAGAGCTACATTTACTGAGCATGTAAGATGTGCTTAACTTACCATAAAGCCTTAAACAGGTGCCTGATTACAACTAATTGCAATTTATTATTTCACATCTTCCGCTTGTATTTGAATTGCAATGAGTAGAACCATCCCCATAATGGATTATTTTAAAGACCGTTCTTCATAGAGAACTTGAGCACTGCATTAATTATACTGATATAAACTACATTTCCACACACCTCAAAGGGTCCCAGGTGCTTCCTGTAATGTAAATGTAATTCAAATTAAATTGCAATTAATTCACTGAATACTTACAGTATATAGTTGGCAAAAGGGGAAAGAAACATTTTAATATGGGTCAAGGAAACATAAATGTTCAAATTTAGGGTAATGATTCGGGCTGAAGTTTTGGTTTTGGTTTTTTTTTATAAGGTACAACTGGGTGAGGCTCAACTCCTAATGTCTGCAGCAGCAAATGCTTGCCATCTCAGCAATAAACTGTAGTTCTTCGAAGAAGAGCTGTGATCCGCTTAATCCCATCCATCCACTTTATCCTTTCCCTTTTGTATTTACCTCAGCCCTCTCAAACATAGCAATTTCTTTTAGTTCTTCATCTGTTCACATCACAGACTTAAAATATATGAGTTCTGCTTACTGATCAGCACCTTAAGGGAGTGATCATTCTTTATTTGGTCCAATATTGACCGATGGCTCTTCTTGCAGCATGCAATACTCTTAGTAAATGTCTTCAGATCCATATTTCAGACATCAATCTTCTTTCTTTTGCTGTTTCTCCTTGTCCAGCTTTTACAGCTGTAGTTTACCTTACTACTAGAAAGTCCAGTCTTTTAACTTTTCTGGTCTACTTTACTGAGCTCAAGAAAACAACATTGTCTGCTACCTTTAATTTTTTGCTCTCAGTTGCAAGTTCACTCTGCATACTGATTAACATTACTAACATTTTTCCTTTCCAGTTTTATTTTCATAATGCATTCTTGTTTCGACTTTCAACTAATAAAATATTATCTGCATATGTCAATGGCTGATGTCTTGCCCTCCAATTTGAACCCTCTATCCTTTCTCCTAACCCTGCTATTCCTGAAATACCTTGGCTATAAATTTAACACATATAGGACAACATTCATCCTCCTTTTTCTGAACTACTTTGTTTTGTTCAAATTTAGTTCTTACAGAGCACTGGTGAAATCCAATTTTTTTTTACTACAGGTTCCCTGGGCATGGCTTGGTGGGCATGGTGTGGCTTGGTGGGCATGGCTTGGTAGGCATGGCAGGAGAAGGATGCTGCAAAATCTCCATTCCCATTTGCTGGTTCTCCAAATTACTCAAAATTTCCGCTACCGGTTCTCTGAACTACTCATAATTTCCACTACGGGTTCTCTGAACTACTCAAAATTTCCGCTACTGGTTCTCCAGAACCTGTCAGAACCTGCTGGATTTCATCCCTGTTGCAGAGGCTTTTTCTTCATGAGAAAGATTCTTCAGAAGACTCCAATATTTTGGCATCCACAGGAGCTTTAACAGAGTCTTGCTCTGTAGTCAATGAAGGAAAAATAAACCCCCTCCTTGAATTGTCTTGTTCTCTCCATTATTCAGTTTGTATTCACTAATGAAGGCAAATATATGTGTTCCTGGATAATGTTGCAGGATCCAATCTGGGTCGGTCACCAGGGACCAAAAGTTTAGTCTTCTGAGCTTTCAGACACATTCTAGTGAGAGAGAAGTTCCCTGAGGATGGGTTCCAGCATGATTCTGAAAGCTCGGAAGACTAAACCTCTGGTCCTGGTGACCAACCCAGATTGGATCAATTTGTATTAACTATCAGATCTCACGTCTCTGCCTTTTCTGAAATCTGCTTGTTTGTTTGAGATTTTTCTCTCCATGTAATATTCTTTTTTTTTCCCTTTGAAATGTCTTTTAAAATATTCCCATTGATAATTTGCATCATTCTTCTTCAGCATTATATAGCAATCTTTCTCTAGTCTTTTTGGCATGGAGTTAATTGCCTCTTTTCTTGCAGCCTTCAATGTACATTTCATCTATGCCTGGAGCTTTTTTATTTTGGCAGCTGGTCTATTGCTTTTCACATCTTGCTTTCAAGTGGAATTGGTTTCTGCAAATATTTCAGACATTCTATAATTCTATTTGTAAAGGATTTCAGGATACTCTTTCCTTCTTTAACCTTGTTTGTCTCAGTCTCTGTGAAGTCTCTTCCTACATTAGCTATACATTTTCCTGCAAGCTTCTTAAAACATCACCCATTTCCCTTTTTATTTTCCTCTGTTGACATTTTTGTTTGATATATCTTTCCTATTCTTCCTTATTGGACACCGACATTCTGCAATCAGTCCTTCTACATCCTTCTTACTGCACAAAGCTTTCATCTCCATTATTATTATTTTTTTTGCAATCATGATCATTGGTTCTTAAGAAATGTACATGTTTCCCTAGTTGAAATTCAAAGGGGAGATGCTTTGCATTTTGTCACAATTCCTCTTATGTCTTCTTAGTTGAGAATGGTTAAAGTTTTTATCCACATAAATTAAGAACACCAAATGTGTTCCTTGTATTGTTTTTATATTCTGACTGCATTCTGCAGATCAAATATTACTCTCTTTAATTTTCTATATTTACCCTGCACATTTAACATGTATAATTTATGGTCTATTCCACAGTCTGCACCTAAAAGTACCTGTGCTGAACGATATGCCCTTTTTCAGCTTCATTTAATTAATTGATTTGATTCCAGGGAATCCAGCGATATCTCTGCATCCATTTTTTCAGCTCAGATATTAGCAAAAAATCTGTAAAGGCTTGCCAACTTTGTAACAACGTAACTTTTTTTTAACCCTGATCAAATTAACCAACTTTATATACAGTGTGTGTGTGTGTGTATACATAAAATTTATATTTTGCTGATAAAGCAAAATATAAATTTGATACAAAATAGTTTGTTGTGATAGCATCTGCCTGAGGGCTCCTGGATTGGAGTTGAAAGGCGAAAGGGAAGCAATATGCTTCCTCCCATATTGGGATAAACCAGATGTTTCAACAGAAAAAAACAGGGGTCGCTGCAGTAAAGCATCTTTTTCCAAGTCATTATGTTGGTCTTTCATTTGTAAATTTACTTTTGGTATCATATTTTTCTTGTCAGATGAAATTTGTTCCACTTCTGTCACTTCTTCAATAATATCTTTTGGATATAGTCTATCTCTAGAGCAGACATCTTTACTGGCAGTCATGATATTTTGACTATCAATTTCTGGCTCCATTCTTCAAAAGTCTCATTTAATATTTTCAAATTTACAACATTTTTGCATCATTTTGTAAGTCCCAATAAATAAGAGCAGAGCTGTATTGTTTTCCTTCTGCTTAGGAACTTTAGTCCCCTCTAGTGTTCAGTTTTTAAAATAATAAAATTACTGCAATAACCAAAACAAATCCATTTCCCATAACAAGCTGTTTATTCCTTATAATTTAAGCAATTACAAATATTATACAAAGTCAATATTCAAAATTTATCTAGACACTTAATCCATTTGTAAATTTTTAATTCAAAAACTTATTTAGCTTTTTGTTGTTTATTTTAAAGTTCTTTAAATTCTTAAGCTTATGATTAATTTTATTTTGTTGATAGTTGAAGACAAATCCACCTAGTGAAGACTGTTCAAATTTATCATTCCAAAGGTCTCCAATAGCTTTAAGGTGGTCAATAGGCAATTTCTGAAAATGATTAGAAAGTAAGATTTGCAAACTCAGTATCCTTTAAAATGCTCTGCCTGAACAAGGGCTTGCAACCATGATGGCTGATCCTGGCATCTTGCAGTGCTCAAACCCTCAGAAAGCTGCTGTCCTGTGATCTCTTCATGAGAAGCATCTATCCAGGGCACATGTGGTTGATCTCCCTTTATTCAGAGAGGTTCCTTGGAATCGGTCTACTCCCCGTTTTCTTGGTTTTTGCCACAAACGTCAGCTCCACTTTTGCAGATCTGTTTTGAGTTTGGAATACATCCCCCAAAAGTCTAGATTAATGCTGCTTGAAGCACGTATGGGAATAAAAAAACAATACTTATCCACCTTCTACATTATTGTATATACCCAAATCATACCTTAATGTCAGGGTTCTTTATTTCTCCGTCTGCATTCTAATCACTCAGTGATCATTCATTTAATGCCTCTTAGAATATGCTGTAAAATTCTTCAGTGTGTTACAGCAGACCATAATGTGATGGTGTGGCCAGGATGATGTAGAGCTTTACTGACTGACATGGGGAAAATCCATATTTAAATCCATCTTCACCCTGGAAGCTGACTGAATAACTTTGGGCCATTCTCCTTCTCTTAGT